CCCTGCCGATATATCATTATTTTGAACGAAAATAATTTGTCAGGGTTACGGTATGTCATCGCGCCCAGAAGGGGGCGTGGCCTATGGGTACCATGGTCAAAAGTCTTAAAGTACCCCCTATACCCACCACATACAATATCAACCTCCTACGACCATTTTGATTTTTTCCATTGCCATGGTGTTTTCGAGTTTCTCAGAGATTGTGTCATAAGTTATGCTTACAAGCGGCAACTCTTGTTAGAGGCAATTCCGAGCTGAAGACATTGTTTTGTGTTTTTTTTTGAATTATCAAAATCTCCAGATTCTAAAAATTACTTGTTTTTATTGACCCTGATAAATCACTTACTTTTTTTTTGAAAATCTGAAACTTGCTCATTCAAAATCAAATTCACCTGTCAATAATAATAATAATTAATTTGTCACTTTTTTTCTCAGTCTAGTCAAAATTTCGAAAAAACTTTTACGATCGAGTTCTCATGACTGAGTAATCAGATATTGTAAGGATGATGCCCACTTTTCAGATGTCTCGGGAACTTTGAATCTCGTTTTCTGGTTTTGGTCTTACCATTTTTGATGGAACTCTTATTTGAAGAGAGCTGTGAGATGCCCGATTTCAACCTTCAAAATCCATTTTGGTTGAAAGTCAGAAGCTTTAATTTACGACATTATTACCGAAACATGTAATTCATTGAACCGAAATCTTACATCATTTAAAACTCACATCATCTCAATTTATCATAAGAAACATCAAAATGTTTTCTGATGTTTCTTTTTTTACTAGTTCTCAAACTATTTTTAACCATAAAGTACTCTGAATCCGTCACTGATTATTGTCAGGTTTCTCAACCTTTCATCAACCATGAAATCTGCGTCAGAATCCTGTCGAAACTGCTCATTTCCTGTGATTTTCCCAACCGAAACATACGTCAATCTGTGGTTATCCTTTCGGTTGGGTTAACAATTGAATTACTCGAGATTTCTTTCTCTCTCACACCTTTTCCCTTATATATATTATTCAATCTGCTAGGCTAGGCTGCTTAAAAAGAGCAACACAGCCGTTTTTCTCTTCTTTTTTTCTTTGCTCTCATATTCTCAAGTTGTCAGGGGAGATGCATGCTTTGCCCCCCTTCCTTTTCCTCTTTTTCTGCTTCTCTTCTTCTTCTTCTTCTTCTTCTTCTTCTTCTTCTTCTTCTTCTTCTTTGAATTTCGACATAAAAACGTGCCAACTGCATAGCAATTTGTGCTCTCTCTGAATCTTGTTTCCTTTATTGATCTTTCAGATTATGTGGTGATTATGGATGAAGACGAAGATCATCTCCTTCTGGAATCTCTATCAGTTTCCAAACTTGGTGAACCATACTTCTCGAGAAACGAATGTGAGCTGTTGACAAGATTTTTGTAAGCTATTGGATTCGGGAGATTTTATAAGCGAGAATAATTTCAGAGAGGATCAACAAGAGAATCGGCTAGACAGCTTATCACTTCATCAGTTATGCACAAATCTGATCAGGAATCGGATATGTAGCAAGTAGGTCATTGTGTTTGTAATATACATTTCTTATAGTAGAAAAGGAAACATGTAATTTCCTTAGCAAACACAATTCGGTTTTTAGCTACACAGGTTGCCGCACAATTATCCGGACTGATAAAATTCGGTATATCTTTAGACACGAGTATCTTGGAAGTACGAAAATTAGTAGAATTATAATTTTGAGTTTGATTCAAAGTTACTGAAACTTTCAAAGCGGTTCCTCAAGTCTAGGTATTGTTATGATTGTCCAAAGATGGACGGCGTAATTTTTCTTGTCATTTTCATTAGGTGAAGCAACTTTGACAAGCGATAACTTTATTTGAAATTCGACCAGTTTATTAATGACCTATTTGAAATTAAGCACTTTGAATTTGAACCCAGTACAACTCTTTACTCAAATGTTATACTAGTACAAACTTGAGTTCGGGTAGTTATGCTCCACCCTGTAGGTCATTTATTGGATGAGTAGTGCGGATTCAAAATGAAATATTTTCGAATTTTGTTATAAAACTCTTATAATTAAAAACTACATTTTTGCAGTTTATAGTTTTTGTATAGCGTTACCAAGAAACAAGTTCCGAGTCATTAAAAACACAGGTTCTTTGAGGTTTCTGGGTTCCGTCGGAATTTCAGTCGTAGAAATTGAAACCCTGGGAAAAAAAAGCCGCTAACTTTTGTTTTGGAAGAAAGTTTGTGTCTTCTGAAGATTCTAGAAGATGTCTAGCATTTAAACTGTTCATTTACTTCAAAACATTTTTCCAGAGAATTCATCGGGAGCCGACCTGCAAAGAAATGGATATTCCTTATCTTCCGACTGGCTCGAACTCTTTTTCGAGACAAATCCCGAATCGCCACGTTTCATTCAGTCAACCAATATTCGGATTTTGTTCAGGTATCACTTTTCTCCTTTCTCCTAAAACCTACCTTTTTGCTTAAGACTTTCCGATTCATCGCTTCTCGATTTCTTCGAAGTGAACACGATTGGAATGTAACCATTGTCAACTGCTTGAGTAAGAACTGAAACTTTCTATTAACTTAATTTTCATGATTTTAAGATGTAACCCAAAAACTAATCGATAACGGTGAGAATGCACAAAAGTTTGTGGATTGCAATCTAGAAGATGGAGTACTGATGTTGTTGGCCACGAGGCAAATGACGGTTCTTCAGCATTCTTTGGAGGTATTTCAAATTTTTTTAGAAGTTGGTTCCTTCAAAAATATATATAATTTCAGATTCTTGGAAGGTTGTCGGATTGGTCAAACATTTGCAGAGCAAATTTGTGTGAATCAAATACCATTGATGTATGCCTCCAGTTGATTCCAGATGGAGATATTTTGACACAAAAGTGAGAATTTATATGTAGGCTCTAAACTACAGTAAACGCTGTAATAGAAGGCCACCCAAGTAGTCAGCTTCGAACCTAAATATCTCATTTTCTGTAAAAAAAATATCAGAAAGTGGTCAACTGACAAAATTTGTATCATAACATCAAAAAGATTTTGTCAGTCAACTACTTTCCGATATTTTTCACACGAACCGAGACATATTGCCTCAAAGTTGGCAGTTTGGGTGGTCGTCTATTAATGTTACCGGTAACTTTACAACTTGCAATTTTAGACTCTGTGTAAGCCTTCTCCGAATATTATCCTTCGAAGAGCAAGCCCGTGAACAAATCCGAATCTACGACGGCGTTCCAACCCTTCTAGGTCTCCTCTCAATCAAAAACTCACGACTTCAATGGCACGTCGCCTGGACGCTTGCTCAATTGGCGGAACAACACGAAACGTCTCTAGAGATTGCTCAGCTTGGCGGAATTAGTCTCATTTTCTCTGCTATCTCAAATCCCAAACCACCTGGAAAAGCAGTCGCAGACTGGGTGTCAATGCTCAATGGATTGACTGCTTTGTTGGCTCAATTGGCACAACAAAGTAGTAATCAGCAGATGATGTCAAATGCAAATGGAGTATATATTCTCGGGAAATTGCTAGCGATTCGGAAACAAGTCGTAACTGAGGAACCGATAGATTCTTGGTTGTTACTTCAATGTTCTATTTTCCGAGTTCTGAGGTTGATGTACACTTTCGAAAGATCTAGACAATTACTGAAGAAGGTTTTGCCATTAGAGATTTTTGAGAAATTTGTGGATGTTGGAAATTACAATAGTTTACTGACAGACTATGATGAGATTGCGAGAATGTATGATACCCTAATTGTGAGTTCCGGAAAGTCTATATTTCAAACTCTGATATTTTCTAGGAAGAAAACATTGACATTATGAAGGACTGGGAAGCAGTGAACGAGAGAAGACAAGCAGTTGGAGAAGTTGGCGAGTATGAACTTCTGGATCAATTGGGAGCTGGAGCATTTGGTTGTGTGTACACTGTCCGAAAAAAAGCACAAAGCCATTCTGAGAACCCCGCAAAGTTGTTTGCGTTGAAAGAAATTTTTATGACAAACCTGAACAGTGATCGAGAATCGGATAAAAGTTTTGGAGATATGATAAGCGAAGTGAAGATTATCAAACAGCAGTTGAGGCATCCAAACATTGTTCGGTATCGGAGAATTTTTGTGGAAAATCATAGGCTGTATATTGTGATGGATTTGATACAAGGAAGTTCACTTCGGGATTTGATTATAACCATGAAAGAGAAGAAGAGCAATTTTGAGGAGAAGAAAATATGGGCGGTTGTTGTGCAGGTGAGCAGTGGATTCGAAAAGTTTGAATCCAATTGTTTTCTCCAGATGATGTTGGCTCTTCGGTACCTCCACAAAGAAAAGCAAATCGTACATCGAGATCTGAAACCCAACAACATCATGATGACAACAGATGACGAGTCGTAATTACAGATTTTGGTCTTGCCAAACAAAAAGGACCAGAATATCTGAAATCAGCTGCGGGTACTATTATTTACAGTTGTCCTGAAATCGTGCAAAATTTGCCGTATGGAGAGAAAGCTGATATTTGGTCTTTTGGTAGGAAACGTTTAGTATATTCCCAGTACTTTTGGAACTTTTCAGGATGTTGTGTATATGAAATGTGTCATTTAAAACCAGCATTTCATTCAACGAATATGCTAACTCTAGCAATGCAAATAGTTGAAGCCAAATACGATGAATTAGATGAAATGTGGAGTGAAGATTTGAAATCATTAATTACTTCTTGTCTAGCACCCGATCAAGCGGAACGACCAGATATCCTGAAGGTGTCTGGAATGTGTGGATCTCGACTTCTCGAGTATTTAGATGATGTGGCAAGACAACAAGCAACGACGTCGGATATGACTGCGTCGTTCTCAAATTATAACAATAATTCGAAGTTCGTAGATGATTCGCCTTCTTCGCTAAACTCAAGTACCAGTTCTTATAAGAGACCTGGAAGGCCTAAAATTGCTCAAACCGGGTTATTACCACCAATCAATCCTGCTCCGCGTAAGATTTTTTTCTAATGTTAATTTGAAGTTTTCCATTAAAAATAAGGTTCAAGTTTCATGACTGTTTGCCAAAATTCTACCCCAAACTGGCCATTTTAGGTTGAAAGTAGTCAACTTTAACTGTCTTAAAAAGTACTTAATACTTGTCCATTTAGATTTTTTAGGATTATGAATCTTTTTTTTTATTACTCTATTTTGTAGTTGATAACTTTTTTGTAGTTCTTTTGATTTTTGAGATACCGTAAAACCTCTAATAGAACGACACCCGGAACGGTCGCTTTGAGCCTATATATCTCACTTCTTTTGAAAGATATCAAAAAGTGGTTAACTAGTAAAATGTTTATCAGGATATCAGCAACATTTTACTAGTTAGCCACTTTTTGATATCTTTTGCAGAAAATGAGATATATAGGCTCAAAGTGGACGATCCGGGTGTCGTTCTATTAGAGGTTTTACGGTGTGCACTTTTTTTAGAGATATGCGCAATCTTTTCAACTCAAAAACTACAGTAGCTAGAAAAGAGTTGTCAACTACAAAAATAACATTCTATACTTGTTTTATAATCCCTGAATTTTTGGCTCTTTAAGACAAGGGGGCCCAAGAGAAAAGGGGGACCCAAGTTAAAAGGGGGGAGGGGCAAAATAAAAAATTTTACCCAAGTTAAGATTTTCAGCTTTTTTCAAGTTTTGTGGTTGTTTCCACTAAAATTTTGTGCTTTGAACATTTTTCATCATTTTTTGAAATTTTCAGTTAATGTCATTTTTTATACATTTTTGTATAATTCTATTGTTCCTAAGCCTAAATTAATCAAATATTAGCTTAATAAATTGAAATTACACAGTTACAACAGCAAAAACAGTGTTGTTCATGGAAAAAAACGACCTAAAATGAAATTTTTTGAAGTTATGCATTTTTATGGAAACAAGCGCAAAGTACGAAATTTTCATTAAAACAGTGGCAAAACTTGAAAAAATCGAAAAATCTTAATTTAGACATAATTTTTACCCCTTCTGTCTTGGCCCCCCCCCCTTTTGACTTCGGCCCCCCTTTTCTCATGGCCCCCCTTTTTCTCATGCCCCCCCCCTTTTTCTCATGGGGACCCCTTGTCATAAAGAGCCGAATTTTTCAGACTAAACGAAAAAGTGACCACTACTTTTTTCAACACTAAAAGTTGACCAAAAAACTATAGTTTCTTATTTCCAGGCAGAAACCATTCGATGTCTGCTGGAGAAACTCCCCGTATGCCATTCTCTAACATCGTCACTCTTCCCAGGATCACAAATGATAAATACAGTATGATGTTCCCGTCAGCGCCATCAGCTATTCCAAATCGGCGACGTGTGCAAACATGCTCCAGCGAGCATCCAGCAAGATCATCCTCATCCACAGAACTAAAAGTAACAAAACAGTCGGATGGCTTGACAGTCAGCAGTAATGCTCTTAGACAAATCCAGGATCCAGTTTTGACGATTTTAAATCAAATTCATCGAATCATGGTTATCACTGATAAAGAATCAGTTCCAACAACAATGAATCATCAGAGAAGACTTGTTGAAATGTTCCGGAAGAATCTTTTGGGACGAGATAATGATGCAGTTCAAATGAAAACTCATTTACGGAAGTTGGCTGCAGAATCTCCAGAAGAAATCAATATGAATTTGGGATTCTCAGATTTTCGTCCAGTTCTGGTACAATCTCATATAAACGGATACCAAAAGGGTTAGTCTGTGTTGAATATATATATATATATATATATATACAGTGCGTTTCATAAGTATAGGTTCACCCTCGGTAGACAAGGTGGGAAATCTTGGAGGTTTGGGGTTGTTATAATATTAAAGTCCATGTAAAAATACATATTGCCCACAATTTTTAGACCGCTACTACAAAAAATAAATTTTTTATGCTCAGAAAAAGTCTTTTTTTTGAAAAACGAGCGTTTCATAAGTAGTAGGTAGCCGTTTCATAAGTATACCTCTTGAAAAAAATTACAGTTTCACATAGGTGATAACTTTTTGACTATTTTTACTGTTTTTAACTATTTTTGCGTCTTTTGCTTCGTTTTTCTTATGCCGCGAGTATTTTTACATGGACTTTAATATTATAACAACCCCAAACCTCCAAGATTTCCCACCTTGTCTGCCGAGGGTGAACCTATACTTATGAAACGCACTGTATATATATATATATATTTATTATTTTTTTCAAATTTCAGATCAAAAAGTGACAAAAATTACCTACGAACAATTGTCGGCTTGTATCGAATGTCTGTTAGTGGAAAATCCTCCGGTGAAATAATATTTTTGACTCCGAGCTCCTGTACATAACTTGCAAATAACTTTATATTTGTATTTAAATAAATAAATTTTCCGTATTTTGTTCCATGTTTTATGACCTATCCCCTCTCTTTCACAGACTTTCAACACATTTGGAAATTTCCCGAAAAAATCAGAATTGCAGGTGTCCAAATAAAGCAAAAAAACCCGAGGGGTTGTTGAGTCTGCTTGAAAAATATTTCTTCACTGTTGGCGCAAACCGATTCCCCTCCTGTGCCCAAAAAGATCCATGATTCGACTGTTTTTTCTTGTGCAGTTTTTGGTGATAGCGGGTAGGTCCTTTTTGAAATCGGTGAATCAGGTCATCAGAAATCGAAAGATCCCAAATTAAAAAATATATAAAGTGCTTAAAATTTGACAAAAATCGGTTCACTACGAAAGAAACATCTGGGTTAAAGGATTTCGTGTGTTTGCAGTGTGGCTCACAATTACTGATAAAAACGGGTGTATCTTTAGACTTAAGTATCTTGGAAGCACGAAAATTGGTAGAAACAGAGTTTGAAATTTGGTTCAAAGCTACCAAAATATTCAAAGCAATTCCTTAAGTCTAGGTATTTTTATGATTGTCCAAAGATGAACAGCGTCATTTTTCTTGCGCGTCGTTGTAATTTTCATGAGATGGAGCAACTTTGACAAGCGATAACACAGCTCAAAGCTGATCAAATTATTTGAAAGTTGGCCAGTTTGCAGATGAAATATGCAATTTTTTGCTCTCCAAATTTTAGCTCAGTACAACGCTTTACTCAAATTTTAAGCTAGTTAAAACTTTGGTCCGGGTAATTATGCTCCACCATGTAGGTCATTTGTTGGATTAAGTCGTACGGGCTCCGAATTAAAATTTCAAAGCTTTTGCTATAAAATTCTTCTATTTGAAACTAAAATCTACATTTTCGTAGTTGATTGTTTTTGAGTAGCATTGATGCGAAGAAAGTTATGACTCATTGAAAAAAATAGAACATTTTTGGGTTCTGGTTTCTGTCCGAATTGCAGTCCTAGTTAATTTCTTTTCAAAAACCTGGAAAACCCCGTTAAAAAATAATGTTTTCCAAAAAATAAATTGATACTCAAAGCTGAAAACAGGTAACTTTTAAAATTGAAACTATTTTTAAAGTTTTCAGTGCTATCCCAATGCCCACCTGGATTGACTCCATACTTCTCCAACAACAACTTCAATCAACCACTGGTAATTCCGTTATACTATTAGCCCTCAATTTCCCACCTTTTTTTCAGACATGCACGCCTCAAGATTCCTGCAGTTGCTATTCCGGATCGTCGCGCTTCGGAACTCTTTGCCAGTACGCCTCCAGCTACAACAACTACATTTGCTGCTACTCAACGAATACACGTGAGTATATGTATTCTGAAATTTCAACGAAGCACTTGAACTTCAGAATGCGGAGCCAACTCCAGTCCTCAAATATCAGCGTCCGGACAAGTTGTCTCTTGCTCGACCAACTCTAACTGTGCTTCTGGATACCAGTGTAATAATGGAGTGTGTTGCCCAAATACTAATTCAAGTTTGTTAATTGGTCAATTTCAAATAATTAGCTCTTAACAATTTCAGATTCCTGCAGCAACTCTGGAAATAATGGATGCCTAACCGGCCAAGTGCTCGTAAATGGACAATGTTACAATTCAGTAAATATTGGATCTGCATGTCAAATGACTCAACAATGTACCGGAGGATCTCAGTGCCAGAATGGGATGTGTCAATGCATAAGTGGATATGTAAATGTCAATCAGCAGTGTGTTATCAGTAACGGATTGAATTGTCAACTTGGAACTGTTTCTTATAACTCTCAGTGTATCACACTGGCTTCACCGGGACAGTCTTGTGTCACATCTTCTCAATGCATCGATAATTCGTTATGCAATAATGGAGTTTGCAGTTGTAATAATAATTAGTAAGCTTCAATTTTCATCGAAAAAAAATCTAAAGAAAATAGGGTCCTAATTTCTCAAAACATACCGTAAATGCTTTAATAGAAACCCATCCTAGGCGTGCATTTTAAGCTCAATTATCTCAATTTCTTCAAGAGTTATCAAAAACTTGGCAACTGGTAAAACGTTAATGGTTTTATGATAAATTATTAATTAGTTGGCTACTTTTTGATAATTCTACTATGGACCGAGATAATTGAGCTCGAAGTGTAGTCACGGTATTCGATTTCGTTCTGTTTTGGGGGAAATGCTTCGAGAAAGAGGAATAAAACAGATCTTAAATTTGTAGCTGAAAACCTTTTATACAAATTCAGCTAAGCGAAATATGCAAACAAGATTCTGATTCCCATAACTACAAAGGTGAAGCTCTGTTTTAAAAAATTATTCATTGAAATTATAAAATCCAAACAATTTGGCATTGACAGAATCTGAAATAATTACTCCAATAAAATTTTCTAGTCAACTTGTCTACGGATACTGTGTACCATTCTCTAATGGAAACTGCCAAAATACCCAAACTCTTGTCAACAATCAATGCGTTCTTCTATCAATCGTCGGAGAGACCTGCATCGCCAACCAACAGTGTGTGGGTGGAGCTATCTGCAATTCGGGAACCTGTAGATGTCAAACTGGCTCGACAGCCATGTATGGATACTGTATCAGTTCCTCATCAAACTCTTGCAATTCCAACCAAGTCGCCATCAACGGTTTGTGCTACAACACAGTGCAAGTCGGTGGATCGTGCTCCTTCTCCCAACAGTGCCTCAATCAAGCCGTCTGTACAAACAACATCTGCGTCTCGTCATTCTGCAATATCCAATGCAACCAAAATCAGGTGGGTGAAGAGTTCACGTTCCCAACTCTATGATCTTTTGCACAGGTGTGCATCTCTAACCAATGCTATAACTATGTGTCTGTCGGGTCACAGTGCACCGGCTCCCAACAGTGTCTCTCCAATTCTCAGTGCACGAATGGATTCTGTCAGTGTCCACAAGGAACTCAATTGGTCAATGGAGTATGCACATCAAACAATAACAACGGGGGATGTCAAAACAATCAGGTAGGCCGGATTTTGGTAGTGGGTGGTAAACATAATAATTTTAGATTTCCTACAACGGCCAGTGCTACAATACCGTATCCATTGGATCACAATGCATGATTACTCAACAGTGTCTTGGAAACTCTCAGTGCATCAACTCCTTCTGTCAATGCACAAATGGAGCAACCAATGTTAATGGAAATTGCCAAGGAGGTACTGGTGTGAACTGTAACTCTAACCAGGTTAGCATATCTCTACAGAGCCATCTGAGCACGCCTCCATGATACAGCTCACGGCCTATATCATTAGAAACCCCATAAATGTAAACTTTGACCCAATTTTTTCTAAGCTCGCAAAAACGGAAAACACATTTTGAAAGTGAATTTCATTAGCTTTCTGATGATATACGTCGTGATTTGTACCTTGGGCAAGTCCAGATAGCTCCCCAGTCAGTAAAAGTCTCAAAAATATCCGAATCAAGATTTCCTACAATGGGCAATGCTACAACACTGTATCTATCGGATCACAATGTGTTATCACCCAACAGTGTCTTGGAAACTCCCAGTGTATGAATTCGTTCTGTCAATGCACAAATGGAGCAACCAATGTTAATGGATTCTGTCAAGGGGGATCAAATACAAACTGCAATTCTAATCAAGTAAGATGAATTACCGTAAAACCTGTAATAGAAGGGCTCCCTAACTTTTGATCTTGAGCCGATTTTTCTCGGTTTCTTTCACAGATGTAAAAAAAAGTCGCCCACCTACAAAATGTTTTTGAAAGTATGATAAACATTTTATCAGCTGGCACATTTTTGGTATCTCAAGTAGGAGCAGAGAAAAAATTAGCTCAAACTGGACAGTGGGGGGCCTTCTATTACAGGCTTCACGACAACAAACTTGGCACCAGACAGTACCGAACTTTAGGTTTCCTACAATGGTCAATGCTACAATACCGTATCTATTGGATCACAATGTGTCATCACCCAGCAATGTCTTGGCAACTCCCAATGCCTCAATTCCTTCTGCCAATGTCCTTCTGGATCTTCCAATGTCAACGGATTCTGTCAGGGATCCAACGGCCAGTGTGGAACCAACCAGGTGCTTTCTACTTCTTGAATTAGAAGCCTAAATTAGATTATAATTGTCTCTGCAGATTCTATACAACGGTCAATGCTACAACACAGTTTCAATTGGTAACAGATGCACCATCACGCAGCAGTGCCTCGGAAACTCTCAGTGCATGAATTCGATTTGTCAGTGTCCTTCTGGATCAAACAATGTGAATGGATTCTGTCAAGGAGGATCTTCTGGAAACTGTAATTCCAATCAAGTGAGTTTCATTAACTTCATTGATAATAGTGTCTCTTTTTTTTTTTTAGGTTTCCTACAACGGCCAATGCTACAACACCGTCTCCATCGGCTCCCAATGCATGATTACTCAACAGTGTCTTGGAAACTCTCAGTGCATCAACTCCTTCTGTCAGTGTCCATCTGGTACCAACAACGTCAACGGATTCTGCCAGACGACGTCAACTGCGAACCTCTGCTCCGCGGGGCAAACCGTTCAACTTGATAACACAAATCAACCAATCAATTGCTTGGTGTCAACATGTCCAACGAACTCGTTCTGTCAGTATTCTGCCAGTGGACAACGATATGTGTGCTGTAGAAGTACATCGGGAAAGAAGAAGAAGTAGAAGAAGCACGTCACCCAAAAACTCGAATCAGATTAACAAAACAAAAGAAGCCTGTGCAAGAAATAAAGTGACAAAAACAAGTGATTAACATTAACATTTTATTCAAACATTATCTTCATTAATCCACAGTTTGAAGCGGACTTCTTCAAAACAAGGTGGCATTTATGAACTATAGGCTTCGCGAGGAAATGATAAAATGGGGAGGGAATTCAATAGACGGTGTCTCGACTACAGAAATTTGACAGAGTAAATATGGAACTTGTATTAGTATGAAAGGGGGAAAGTGATGGGGGTGGATGGGGGAAAACGGCTAGACGACAGTTTCTACCTTGGTGTGAATAGAAGAATTGAGATGAATAAAGTGATTAATCATCGGGAGTGGGAATATCTGTCGCGGTCCTGCCGCTTTGAAATATGGTGGAAGTGTGGGGATGGGAGAAGTGAATAGAAAAAGGAAGGGGATTGTAATTAAAACTCGCTGGAACCATGTATTTACCTAGAAAGTAGAGAACCAGCTCGATGAGAAGAATGGGAAATAGGGGAAGGAATGAAGCCGAAGTTAGCGATGAAGCACGGCAGACAAATCGGGGATGTATGAAGATATTAACAAATGGCGTTCTTCTCTTTCTAAATGTTTGGAAACAAATAAAGAAAGAAGGAAAATAGAATAAGAATATTTATGCCAACACATTGGATGTTTCTTTTGGCTGGATGAATCAGTGCTAATGGGGGACACTGTTATAAAACAGGTTGATGGTGGATTGTACGGATTAACACGGAGTAGGTTGAAGTGCCCGGGGGGCCGGCGAGGTGATATACTCGGAGGCGTCAGAAGAGGGGGCCGGGAGAATGGATGATCGGTTGTAGGTGTGCATCGAATCACTGTCCAAATCACTGTCTTGATCGTCGAGGTCGGCAAGCAGATGGAATGTCGATGGCATCGGCAGCATGTGACGAGACCAAAGGCTGGAAACCTTGGTACGGCATCGGTTAATTTCACTCATGGAGATCTGGAACAGGTTAAATTAAATCAAATGAAAATTTGATTTTCCGTCTACTAACCTTGCAAGCACGAGCCAGTGCACTGATCGGATGTTGCCAATGTTTGTTGGTGGCTTCGACGAGAAGTGACACGGTGCAGATTGCGAGCACACTCCAACGGAAGTTAGATGTCAATACGGAGTCACAGAGCAAAAACTCTAAATGCTTCCTGAAAATAGGCAGATAAATAACGGAATGTTCAATTGTAAGCTCACTTGATGGACGGCATGAGGAAACTTGCTCCAAGTTCTGACAGGAGACATTCAACGATGCGATAAAGGTGCGGAAGGTTGGCGTCCCATTGAAGAACTTCTAGAATCTTGATCTCCATGCGTTTCAGTTCTTGTGAGCTGTACTCAGTACGCAGGCGATTCAAGAAAACTGGAGCATCTTCTTCGTGATCTTCGAGGAGCTTCTTGGCTATGCTCAGACTTCCGACAGCAACGCAGTTGACATACTTGCTGGGAATCCTGACACTTGTAACTACTCGATCGAAAATAGAAACAGCCAACGAAGTGCTATCGCTGTCTAATCCAAGTCTTCTCGTAGCAGTGCACAGCCAAGCACACTCACGGTTCCGGTCTTTCCAACCGATCATACCCTCGCCCTGGGCCAGACTTAGCGGGTAGTTCTGAAAATTGAAGACGTGAGATCGAAAACCAACAAAATCGAATTACCTGATAAAGAAGTTTCTCTCTTTGCAGCAACATTTGGAGCAACTGCGTCGAGGAGATCCCATCTTGCATCAGCTTTCCCGCCGCAGCCGAGGAGCCGCTAGTCAACCCTGAAATTGAAACATGGCTTATAAAGAAAAAAAAATACTTGAGTGAAGAAGAAAATCAGTCAAGCGCAAATGGTGACACACGAAACTCACTGAATTTTAGTCTTCTCATGGCTGCACAGGGGAGTAAAAGTGTGGAAGGGCACGAATGCTAACTCAGCAGAATTAATGCAGAAACTTCTATTCAGCATAGAAACATTTCGAAAAAGAATGTTCTCGTATCACCCGACACTACGTTATATTTCGAAACTTTTTTTCTGTACGCAATTCTATGCTAAAAGTGCTAAGAGACGCAGGTTGTGCGGGAAAACGGATGAGATGGGAGCGGGGAAGCGAGCGATCATGATCACAAGCATCACACGATTAATGTTTTCAGTGAAGTCATATTTAATGTCAAATGTGTTTGGAAGAAAATAAACTAATACATTGAGGAAACCAAGAAAGTCGCATAAACAATTCGAGAATCCTTCAGTTCAAAGGCGCGGGCCAATTATCTCAGTGGGAAGTATCAGCGCGGATTACAACTGCGAAGTGTTAAATCATCTATTTAAAATCACAATGACTGCTTTAATCAGAATAATAGGGACTTCTTCTCTTTTCAACTAGATGAAAGTGCTCGAAATCCCATATCTTTGAAACAGCTTTGTGAAATCGACAATGAGAAAACTACCAAAAAGCTCGAATTTCAATTTTAAAAGTAGGACTATTGGGCTCACAAGAATTGGAAAGAAGAGATGTTTTCGGAACTGGACCTCTTCTTTGAAAAGGCATGTCGCTTCCTAGGAACGTCTAGATATCAGGAATTGTGAATTTGAAGAAAAAAATAAATTCAAAACATTCATTTTTAGGCTCTTGTAAAGAATCTCTCCTGAGAAGTTTTAGCGATTTTTCAGGATGAGAGAAGATCAATAGATTGAGGATACTGCGAAACCTAAATAGGTTGATGTGCAAACAATGCAGACTGCTTTGAGAGCTCTTGAAAAGTAAAACAAAAGGGGGTGTTGATCGAGACAGTAAGACACAGAAGGACGAGTTTATACCGTTTCGTCTTTCTGACCCGAAATGTCCATTGAAATGCGGGACGCGCACACAAAACCCGAAGGAGACCTTCGCACCAGCGACTGCCCCGTGCTGGACTTGTCGTCGTTTCTTTCCGTCTCACGCCGCGCTTCGCCCTCGTGTCTCTCCCAGCATTCTCCCTCTCTCACACTCAAAACACTTTCGGTTTTGCCAGCCAGTCCGTCCGCTCGGCTGCTGGCTGGCCGGCCATTTTCTCGTCTCCTCATAACTCTTGTTATCTTTCTTCTCGGTTGTCTCACCGATTTCACTGATCTATGTTGTCCCTGGAGACTCTGAATCTCTTCTCTCTACAAAGGACAACAGCTCCCATCGCGCTGATTTCAAGCGTTTTTCAACGACATCTGATTGTGCATTTAGTGTGAAACAAAGCAGACAAAGGAAAAGCAGGGAAAGAAGACTGCATTCGCGATTCTAGATAATAGAAATAACTAAAAGGCTTTCAGAACAATAGGGGAGGCTAGAATTTAGGAGGGGGTGTACCAAAATACAATTCGCACATCAATATTGTTGATCTCGTGAATGCGTCTTATCAAGCCCGCTCATCGTGTCATTCCGAGAAGCTTCTTATCAGCACAGTCATGTGGTCACATGTTTTTGTGTGTGCGATAATTGTCACCCGTCAGACGCAATATACAAAACGGTGGGGTAGAAGATGGCGGATACAGAAGGCAAAAGGGCAAAAACTGGAACGTGCGTACCGCCCGGTACGCTTATTTTTGAGAGAAAATAGTGTTTCGTTTCGTCAGATGACGACACGAAGCAACAAAGCTGCTGTGTACGTCTGTTTCCGCGCCAGGTGGTGAAGGTTTCAGGGACAAATATTTTTTAGAGACGGTGTTCGCTGGCAGCAAGGTAAATCGAAAATTCTACTTCCTAGTTTCGAAAGTTACATGCGGAAAAGTGAACAAACCATAACAGAAGAAAACATTAAACGAGAAAAGTGAACAAACGATTTCTACCGTAATCCTAAGGAGCTTTCGAAAATTATAACGAATGGTCTCGCAGCGACTTTGTTTTTTGCAAGAGTTTGGGAATTTCCTAAAATCCCAAACAGCTTTCAAAAAAAACATTTTTCTCGAGCAGGAAGAAAGAAAAACTCAATATTCTGAACATCTTGTGTGTCGCCTAATTGTTATTTGATTCTAGGCGTTTTTCTTCTCCAAAGAAAACTTCCTTGTTCAAATAGGTATTAGGTTGAAAGCAAAAGCAACAAAAAAAAACTTTGAGAGAGTGAATAATACATGCTAAATGTTTTCTGAAATGAAGGGCAAGCTGACATTTAGAGAACATGTTCTTCTGAAGAAGTATAGCAAGGTCAGACTTCTAAAGAGATTTAGATTAAGACAACCCTTGCGATTTCCCATAGAATATGCTTAATACAAAAAATATAAATTATACATTGTTGATAGAATTGTGTTAGTGCACTCTATGAATCATCTCTGGAAAGGAGAATATCTGAAAATCGCGTGACTTCTAATTAGAAATTCACAGGCTTCCAAAATTTCTCGCCGAAAAAAGTCCTCTAGAAGACATCAGAGATGAGTGCTTTGGTATGCAGCTCAAGAAGAGCAAGTGCGATAGGGAAAACATCAAAAAATAGCCGAGTGTGTCGTCTCATCACTCACCACTCTCCTCGTTGTCGTCTTGGCTCATCCTTGTCGCCGTCTTGTATTCGAGATTAGAGTCGTCTGGGAGATTTCAGAAGACGTCAATCAAAAGAGGAAGAAGCTCATCTTGCTTCTTTGTCTGTAACATGAGATGAATGATGTAGAGGAATACAGGTAGACGATGATTTTTAGAAGTTTTGGCAGGTACTGTTTACTCGAACAATCACATGGCCGGTCACATGGCACGCTCGTGCCAGTAGGAGAGAAGAACATGAAAACGGAACAAAAAAAAGAAGATGAAATGAAAATTTAAGTGAATTTGACAGAAGAGTCCTTTGAAGCAGTTTTGTGGTAGATAAAAGACCACTAGCCTATTTACATGTTAGAGAAAAAAAAAGAGAAGAAAGAGAAGAAGAAGAACGAAGCTTATTAATTTTGAGATTCTCAGAAAAAAGGTTCGTAAAAAATAGGAAACCGGCGATACCAAATTATGCAGATTCTGTGGCAGATGGACAGAGACAGATGTGTGTTCAAACAGTGAACAGATGGGCAAAATGACCGTATCGTTTTGATTAGAAACTGACCTACAAGAGCAAAATATAGATTTTCTTCTAAAAAGTAGAAGGTTTGTTTGCATTGAAATTCATTTCGAATCTTCCCCTTTTTTCATTTCGGGTTCTCAGGATTCCTAATGAATCCTTGCCTACTTGAGATTCAGATCTGATTTGCTTTTTTTGAGTTCAAAAAAACAAGAAAATGTCTTCCGAAATTGAATCCCAACACACAATATGGACCCAAATGAATTTCAGAGAATATGGATTATGGAGGTCGTTAGTCCTTTCTTCCCCCGCTTTTTTGAATTCTTGTGACTAGTAATTGAGCCAATCTAATTCTGGGGAATGCTATAATAAGAGCTATTTTTTTGGAATGAAATACTTCTGGAGAGCAGCATTTCTAGACTCTTTCAGCCCAAATAGCTATGGAAACGAGATGAAACGGACCGGATAATGATGATCAGAGAGAGGATTATGAAGAGGAAAAGGGCGGTTCTTTTTTTTTGAAAATAGAAAAAAAGAGCCCTGGATGAATCATTAGCTTCAAACGAAGGATTGCGAGAATTGAAACTATAATTTGGTGTGCCCTGGCAGGCATTTTGTCTCAACACAAAAACGGCATACAAACACATGGAATCAGTGCCTTCCACGTGATGAGGAGGCCTTGTTTCTCTCTGCGGACCAGGCAAATAAGAAGAGGTTTATATGCGTTCGTTTGGGCATTAATTCTCGCATTCTCTCCAGGTCGAACGCTCTCTCTCTCTCTTTTCCTCACTCGCGCACATTCGTTTGAACCATTTCCTCCCAAAACACCTGATGATGGGTAATAGAAATTGGTTGTCTAGAGAATTGAGTGGGAGGATAAATAGAACAGACTATCATGAGCTAAAAAAATGTGTATTAATCTCAATAACAAGAAAAAACAACGGAAACCTATATCTACTTTGGGAAATAACACATAAACAATAAATAAAATCGGTGATTATAGATCTACGGCAGCTCTTCTCGACGTCTTCTTCTCACTCGTTCTCCGCTTTTCGAATAGACGATGCTGTGTGGCAATTGCTGCTCTCTGAAAATATAAGTTGCACTTTGGAAAAAGTTTCACGATGAGTTCGCACCGCTCTCAAAATTTTTTCGTCTTTTTCGGTAGTCTGTCGCTTTCCTTGCTCCTTTTCGATGGCGTAGATGGCAGATCTCAACTTATCGAAGCAATCGGCAACGTTAAGATGGCGTTCTCGTGTTCTATCACTGTCGATAATGAGCTGAAACCGAGAAATTATCGTTTCCATAAAAAAAGAGGCTCAAAAATAACAAACCTCTCCAGCAGAGTTAATTCGATGTGAAAGCTTCTCTTCAATGGAATTCTTCAGCGAATCGGATAACCACTCTGCCTCGCTAACTTTGAATCGGATCTCTACTTTTGTGGCATTTTTCTGCACATTTTGGCCTCCTGGTCCACTGCTTAATGTGTATCGTTTCTCGATTTTCTCCGTCGGAATCACTCCAGTGAAAGAGACAGATGAAGAGGCGGCTGATAACTGAAAAAACGGAGATTGTGATTTACTAGTTGATATTTATATGATTACCTGGATTTGGCGTGTTGCTTTTGTAACAAAAGAATAAGTATTACGAAGCATCTCGATTAAATAATTTAGAATTTCTTCTGAAAATAGAAAAAATCAGGAAAATCCTTATCGATTTACGGTGAACAACAGGCGCGTCGTTAGGGCGGAGTGTCGTTGCGAAATTTTTTTAGCGGGAGTTCAAATAGAGTTTTTAAAAGAAATGTAATAAAAATAGCTTGCTTTCTAAGAGAATTTCGAAAGAACTTTTGATTCCTGTCTCATCAAAATGAAAATGTTCTTTCAATGAAGCGTATTTCCTCCGCAGAAACCCTCGCCGCAGAAACCGTCACCTTCCTATGGAAATCACTAGAGAGATGAAAAATCATGCAAATTTCCATGAACCCCACCCAATGGTAAAAACAAAAAAGAAAATTTATGATTCGTGATTCAAGAAGAATCACACATCACTTTTTGATAAACAAAAAGAAGATGTTGACAGGTTGATGATAGTAGACCACACAAAGTTTTCTCGATTCAAAGACAATAATTCCCCTATCATGTATTCTCCAGATATGGTTCATCCGTTTGAAACTGATTCCGGGAGAAAAGTGAGAAAATTTGACGTTTTTTTTCCTTATTGTTACATTGTTCAGTCCAAAAATGAAGTGCATTCTGGAGGAATGGGATGGCCAAAAGCTTCATTATTTTTGATTGGTCATTCTGCTGGAGCTGGAATGTTGGCAATGCCAATGGCCTTTTCTGTTATGGGTAATTTTTAGAAATCAAAAAGCTTATATTTTCTTTTTTTTTTTGAAAGAAGGAGGAAAGTAGTTTCTAGTTGTTGACCTTGGTCTATCTACATAGACAGTGTAAAATAGACAATAATAAACCTCGGAAATCAAAAGTTTTTCAGTAGATAATAAAAAAAAACATTTCCAGGAGTTGAAATCGGTACACTTTTGACTATAGTTTGTGCGGGGTTCTCATTAAATACTGGTCTACAATTAGGATGGATGTGGTTGATGTTGCAGGAAATATGGCCTGAATATCGGAAATTGTAAGTATAACTTATAGAAAAAAGAGAAAAATTCAGAATCGGCAAAAATTGATTCTCGAAAATTTCATTTAAAAAACATCGTCAAACCTGTTATAGAAGTGCCCCCAAAAATTTGACTTTGAGACAATTGTTCTCGGTCTTATCAAAGATATCAAATTATAACTCGTTTATCATAATATCAGAAACATTTTTTCAGTTTTTTGATATCTTTCACAGGAATCGAGATAATTAAGCTCAAACTAAAAAGTGTAAGGGGCCCGTCTATCACAGGTTTTGCGGAAATTACAATGATAAGATGGTTCAAAATTTTCGAAAATATCAGGAAATATCAAAAAATCTAACAACTCATTTTTGTAGTTTGAAACTTTTTTGTACAAAAATGAAATCAACCATTTGGGAAAATATATACATAACAGTTTTGTGATTCGGGGTAATAAGTGACTTTTACCGTAAACACTTTATCATCAAATTTAAGCTCAATCATCTTGATTCCTGTGAAAAATATCAAAAAGTAGTCAACTAATAAAATTTTACTAATTCTACGATAAACATTTCACCAGTTGACCACATTTTTATATCTTTCACAGGAACTGAGATAAATTGAATTAAAGTTGATTCTATTGGAGTGTTAACGGTATGTGTGTTTGTGGCTCGTTCAAATCTTTAAGGAAACAGAAAAAGTACAAAGGGTTTTGAACAAAAACTGTTAAAATATACTTTTGGTCAATAAGGCTCTTTTGAAAAACAGAAACTGCAGAAAGTCCAAGAAATTTTCAGATGCCAAAATCCATATGGTGCTATTGCATTACGTTCCTATGGACCTATTGCTCGACACGCAATAGAAATAATGGTATGCTTCTCGGAACTAGGATATACCGTTGTTCTCTTACTCCTTGCCGCCAAAAATGCATCCGTCCTCTTTCATTTTTTCCTAGCAATGGATATCAGTCAGTGTTATCTGATTGTCATTGTCGCTGTCCTTGTCTGGCCATCAATAATGCTTCGAAGTCCTGAAAACTTCTGGCAAATCGCATGGATTTCTACTGCTTCCAGCTGGGCTGCAGTGGTTCTGATAGTGATTGGAGTGATTCAGGACGCTCCTGTTTGCAGTAAAGATGTACCTCATGAGCCTGCTAGTGTATTCAAAGCGTTTATGTCTTATGGATCTATGGTTTTCGCATATGCAGCTCATCCATCGTTTCCAACTTGTCAGCATGATATGAAACATCCATCCCAATTTTCTTATTCTTTGATGCTCACATGGGGAATCATTTCAGTATATTATATGGTTGTATCTTATCTAGGCTACTTTGTATACGGTAGCTCAATTGGAGATTCAATTATATCGTCTATCCAAAATACCACTTTTCAGCAATTGGTAAGTTGTCATGTATTCTTAGAAGCTCACCTTATTTTCAGATTAATCTAATGTTCGCAATCCACGTGGCATCTACAATAGTAATTGCTTCTTCACCAGCTTTTCAGATGTTTGAAAGAATGGCAAAAATACCCGCAGGCAAGTCTCACCCAAACTTATTGGGACGAAATTCAAAAATTAAGATTATTTTCAGAATTCAACTTGAAAAGGTTCTTTCTCAGAACTCTGGTTTTTTTCCTAGTTACCTTGACAGCTCTCACATTCCCACATTTTGGACCAATGATAAATTTGGTGGGATTATTATTATTTTTTTAAAATTAAGATTCTAAAATTTCAGCTCGGTGCCTCTGTGAATTCTCTGATTGCAATGATTCTACCATCCGCATTCTACTTGTCATTGAGGGCTTTCAGAGAGAAATGGAAATTGAATAAAAAGAGGACGGAGCTCCCGAGTTTCAAAGAGTGAGCCGTTCAATTTAAAAAAACTGGTACGAAAACTCTCAAATTTTTTTCAGAATTTTCCAAACAACACCCAAGCATATTCTGATTTTCAACATAGTTTCCATGAGTAAGTATTCTGAAAACTGACATCGTTGGATTCCAGTTTTTTCAGCGTTTGGTCTACTGGCAGCCATCATTTCCACGATATCAGCCATTCGAACATTTTTAGATTCTTCTCTGCCTCCTCCATGCTACATTCAATATTTCCAGTCTGGTCTCTCATTTTCAGCTCCGAATGGAACTATTGGTTGTTGTGGAACTTATCGAAATCTAACATCCGAGTTAGATCCAAACGGATTTTGCTCTTTTAGAAATGTTTAGATTTATAGATTTTGAATCAACGAATGAAACTTTTATAAAAACAGATTTTGGTTGAAATTTCAGTTTAAAAAGATCAAGGAAACCAGATGTTCCGTATGCTCACCGATGACTTGAGGAATCGCTAGTATTGGATTCTTGGTGCATCTTTTTAACTTTTTTCATATTTTTTTCAATTGAGCTAGCAGTAATAAATACATTTATTTGAAAAAAACAGAAGTTTACAAAATGAGAGGTTCATGAGCACTTCCAGAAAATCAGATGATTGATCGAATCTGTAGATGGGTCTTGGGTGGCTGTTCCATCGTCTAAACCTTCTCCACAACTGACCAATAGCTGCTGAAAATTATTTTTTGGCTTTCTAGATTGCATCAACTATGCACAAATTGACAAACCTGTGAAGATTGCTGCGATGGAACATTCAAACTACTTCGTTTCTGTTTCCGAGAAGAATGATTGAAATGTGTTGGAGTTTGAATGGGCAACAGGATTCGGCACGGACCACTGTGACCGATTTCGCACACTAAAAAATTTTAAACTTCAAATTTTGCAAAAATTTTCAAAAAAAACGCACCTCGAAGATCAGGAGTTGGGTTGGACTTTGCTGATTGTACAGACGTTGATAAAACAAACCCAGCTGATGTTCCAATCCACAGATTATGACGAGCTACTGTTAGACAGGATACTCGAAGGCAACCCATTTTATGTTCTCGAAGAATATGTTCCCTTCCTAGTAGTTGAGAACGAACGAATGATGCAATATTGAAATTATTCAGAACTGATAGTTCGAAGACATCGAATACGAAAATTTCCGTAGATTTTCGGCCGCATAAAAATACGTATTGACCAGTTACATTCATTAAAGTGATGACGTCGGAGGATGGAAGGATTTCGACGGGTGGCTGAAAACCAGAATAGTTTTAAGAAAACTCAACTAGAATGACTCACCTGAAACTTGCCAGTATCTATGAAATATGAATGTAATGAGTTTCCACTGGCTATAATAACTCGTCTTCCAATTTGTTGCATATTAGTAATAGGTGCTTGACAAACATGTCCAACTGTTTGTGGATTATCCAAATCCCAATTGCCATCTGATCCAGGTCGGAATAGCAATAATTGAACTTGATTTGAATACGAAGTTGCCACCAAAACATTCCCGTTTGCTGCACAAATCGAAGTGATACTATTCCGAAGTCGAGCCAACCGATCTCTTGTTCTGGATCGCACTCTTTCAGTGGAATTCACTACGAACACTTCTCCATCGTCGTTTCCAATCCATACAGTTGTCTGTCCGGCGGTAGAAGCACCTTCATCTGAAGACGATTCTGAATCTGATCCACTGCTGTTGATATCCATTATTGTCTCATTTTGCATTTGTTCCAAAGACTTTTGTGACTTGATTTTTCGTTTTCGGGGTTTCCTAAAATTTTGAAATTTCAAATTTGAAAACAAAAATTTTAACTTACATCGGTGGTGGTACTGTACACATCGCAGTCACTGCTGCGTTCCCAATCGCCGAACAGCTTTCAATTGTAATTTCTCCAGAATCCAAAGCCATCACAGCTACCTGACCACTGAATTTATCACTGGCACATACCCAAAGGAACGGGGTATTGTCCACGCGTTTTCCCGGGACTACTGTAGCGGTGCATAGCTGAAAATTATTAGATTAAGAAATACTCACTATCAGAAAAAAAGGAAATTCAGAAAAACTACAATTTCAAGAAAAATTTAAGAAGTTGACATTAAAAAATATTTGAAACATTGTTCTTTCAAATACGGAAGGAATTTTTTAACGTTCAGTCGAATTTTTTTAGATTTAGATTTTGAAATGAACAAGACGATTTTCAGAAGTATGTTTTGTTGTGTGTATATTCTCAAAACATTTTCTATCTTTCTTATCATGTACATACAGTACCGTTCCATAAGATATACAAAAACGCGGTTTTCACTTGATTTTCGGCATTTTCAGAAGTCTGGAGCTCAATTGTCAAGTCGCGGATCACTTTGAAAATTTTACTGGGTGTAAAACAGACCTAGATTGAAATTCACAGAATTTTTCGAAAATTCCTAGTTTTTCAGGTATTTTCCAATTTCTTAAAGACGCCTGTTTTCTCAATTTTTCAGTACAACAACAGGACAATAAAGGTTGTCTTTCAGAAATCAAAAATGGAAGGAATTTTCAAAAAAAGTTCTGTGAATGCAAAGTTTTTAATCTAGGTATGTTTTAGGCCCTCCGAAATTTTCAAAGTGATCCGACTCTTGACGACCGAGCTATAGACTTCTGAAAATGCCGAAAGTCAACTGAAAAACGCGTTTTTATTAACCGACACTGTATATGGAGATTCTTCAATTTTTTTCCAAAAACTGAAATTCAATTTACCTGTAGTCCAGGCCTTGTCTGATGAGCTATAATAGTCTTCAAACTACAACTCGGTGCCGCAGTCAAATGTTTTGCCAATGTCGTCTTTGCATCTTTGAACGTTGCCTCCCAAACACTTCGTTTTTCCGCATTCGGAAATTCCAAAACAAACGGTTCGAATCCATTTCTGTTTGGCAAAAGAGAACCGGTTATGTTTTTTTTGAACAAATAGACATTGGCTTACGAGGTTAGAACATCCAAATGGACTGCACTCAAATCTGGATCATTGCTCATCTTTTCCGTGAGCTCTCGGATGTTCATTGAGTTGTCCGTCTCCATCGTCTCCAACATCTCCATCAGAATCTGTAAACCGGTTTCATCTTCATCTTCTTTTTTATTTCGTTACTTTTATCATATCATCTTTGGAAATCACAACATTACACTCGATTCATCGTGTTCCTCTTCACAACCGCTGTCTCCTTTTTTTCACCTCTTTTGAATTTTTCTTTTTCAACCCAAAAATTCATATACCTATTCATGCAAATCTTCTCCGATTCCATTCCCTTTCCATGTCAAAACTCTAAAAAAACTCGAAAAACTTTTTGTCATTCTCAATTCAGAATCAAATTTTGCATCAGAAAACGTCAATTCTTCAGAAGGTATCATGTGTTGATGTCTTAGACAATACATCATTTTGGTATTGTTTTCTTGCTTTTTTACACCTTTTTTGATTGTTTTTGAAGTGGGAAGGAACTGTATTTTTATCTTTTTTTAAAAATATTTTTATCTTCAAAATTTCAGTATTGAACCAAAAAGGTATAGTGGCAAGCAAGTATGGGATTAAGTAGAGTCTGGTCGACGACTGATGTGAGTTTTTTTTTTCAAATAAAAAAAACGAGGAATACTGTAACATACGGTAACTAAAAATAATTGAAAACCAGGGTTTTCTAACTGAAACTACTGTATTTCCACCGAAATAACGTAACACCTCCACTTGTACTATGAGCGCAAGAAGGCCGCCCAAACCGCTGACTTTGAGCCCTTATATCTTGGCTCCTGTGAAAGATATCAAAAAGTGGTCAATTGATAAAATGCTGTTGATATTATGATAAATAATTTATCAGTTGACAAATTTTTAGTATCTTTTACAAGAACCGAGATATATGGGCTCAAATTTAAACAATAAAAAATCGAGCTGATTGAGGTCAAATTGGAACAATATGTAGGTTCGGTTGTCAATAACAGGATATACTGTATCTCGATCAAAAACAGTACTATTCAAATAAGTTTAGTTCTCACACAAAATTTCAGAAAGATGGTCCCACATCTCATATAAACGAAAAAGGAATCGGATGGATAATCGCCGCAATTTTCATCATCGGAGAAACCGCTGGCGGTGGAATGATTGCTCTTTCCTATGCTCTCACATCAATGGGTCTGATTCCCGGGCTGATTCTTCTTCTCCTATGTTCTGGATTCTCACTTTATACAGCCCTTGAGCTGTGCTGGACTTGGAAAATCATGCAAAATCGATGGCCAGAGTATAGAGGAGATCAGTGAGTTTCCCAGTTTTTGAATAAGAGGAAGTTATCAGTCCAAAAAAAAATAGTTCCGCTTTGTGTCCTAATTTGAAACGTTAATGTGATAAAGAGTATAGATGTGATAAACAGTACTTCGTATCGCAGTTGATCTAGGGAAAATCATACCTATGATAAATATATATTTTGGATATTGGAAATGAAAAAAGGATTGAAGAATGGCTACAAAAGTTATTATAAATTTTCAGCCTGTTCTGAAAGTTAGGAAAATATCAACCATAAATAAACTTGATTTTTGTAGTGAACATCAAGATCGGACAATTTCAATATAGCGTAAAACCTGTAATACAAGGGCCTCCTAACTTTTCACTTGGAGCTAATTTATATCGGTTCCTGTCCAAGATAAAAACAATTTGTTAACTGACGAAATATTCTTGTTGATATGATAAGCATTTTGTTAATTTATCACTTTTTGATATCTTTCACAGAAAGTGAGATATATGGATCAAAGTAGATGATCAAAGTAGATCTAAGTAGATGGTTTGGGTAGAATTATTACAGTTTTTACGGTGAACAGTTTTTTGGCGATACCAAGGAAATAGTGAACAGATTCAAATTCTAAATTTTATCCTAAATCTCCTAAATCTCCTCATTCGAAACAAAAAAACCATTTTCAGCTGCCGCAAGCCGTATGGAGAAATGGCATACAGAACAATCGGTCGTAAAATGAGATCCTTCATTGCCTTCATGATCTGTATCACTCAAATCGGATTCGCCACTGTTCTAGTTCTCCTTGCCGCCAAGAATCTTTCCATTCTACTGCACTTCTTCTTTTCTTTAGATATCAACCAATGTTATCTAATTCTAATCGTTGGACTTGCTGTCTGGCCAGCCACCATGCTCCCATCACCAATGCATTTCTGGCAAGCTGCTCTATTTTCCGCAGGCTCCAGTACATTTGCAGTGATTCTCGTGGTTATAGGATTGGCTCATGATGCTCCCGTGTGCTCTCAAGATGTTCCACACGAGGAGCCCAACCTTCTGAAGGCTTTCATGGCGTTCGGAACATTTGTGTTTGCATTTGGAGGTCATGCAACGCTTCCAACGATTCAACACGATATGAGAAAACCCGCTCATTTTGTGCATTCTGTGGTTTTGGCTATAATTTGTAAGTAGCCAGATTGATTCTTCTGGGAATTAATCTGATTTCTTATTTTTCAGTCTGCACATGCTTGTATCTTTGTATTGCTGTTGGTGGATATTTAGTTTACGGAAGCACCGTTGGGGAAGCAATTATTCCTTCGCTACAAATCAAATGGATTCAACAAACTGTGAATCTGATGATTGCTGTTCACGTTATCACTACCATTGTTATTGTTATGTCACCACCGATTCAACAAGTTGAGGCGTTACTCAAAGTACCACATAGTGAGTTTGAAGATAGCTCTTTTGTGTTTTTGAATTTTTGGAATTTTTCGGAATTTTGGAATTTTTGAAATTTCGTAAATTCTTGAATTTGGGGAATTTTTGAAGGTTTTTGGATTTTTGAAATTTCAAAAGTTTTTGAATTTTTGAAATTTGTAAACTTTTGAAATTTCGGGTTTTTTAAATAAATTTTAGAAACTTTGAATTTGCTAAATTTCTGAATTTTCTGAATATCTGAACTATTGGAAGTCTTGTATTTTTTTGAACTTTTGGAATTTTCGGCTTTTAGAATCTTGGATCTGAACTTTTAGAATTTTAGAATTTTGGATTTTTGGAATTTACAAAATAGTATTTGAATTTTTTGTATTTTTTGAAATTTCAGAATTTATGAAATTTCGGATTTTCTGGATTTTTTTTGGAAATTTCGGATTTTTGGAATTTTTGGAACTTTTTGAATTTTCAGAATTTTAGAATCTCGGAATTTCTGAATTTTTAGAATTTCAAGAATCTCTGAATTCTTGAAATTTCTGAGGTTTTGAAACTTTTGAATTTTTTGGAATTTTCGGAATTTTTTTGGAAATTTTTGAATTGTTCGAATTTTAGAATCTTGGAATTTTGAATTTTAGAATTTTTAGAATTTCGGATTCTTCAATTTTTGGAATTTCTGAATTTTTAAAAATTTCTGAATTTTCGAAATTTTCTGGATTTTGGAAATTTTTGGAGATTCTAAATTTCTGAAATCTCTGAATTTTCGGAATTTTTTTGGAATTATTTGAATTTCTAAATTTTTTGAAATTTCTGAATTTTTGAAATTTTGCATTTTCTGGAACTTCTGGAACTTTGGGTCTTTTGGAGTTTCTGGAACTTTTTAAAATTTTAGAATTTTGAACTTTTCGGAATTTCGGAATATCTTGAAACTTTTGAATTTTTGGAATTCTTAAAATATTGTAGATTCCAAAAACAAATCAAAACTTTTCAGAATTTGGAATTAAACGATTCCTGGTTCGTACGGTGCTTTTCTGGTTCGTCATCTTCATTGGCCTCTCTATTCCACATTTTGGGCCCGTTCTTGATTTGGTACGGTTTCGAAATTCTCCTCTAATCGGTCACATAATACTAAAAACAACAATAACTTTTCAGATCGGAGCATCCACGATGGTTCTGATGACCCTAATTCTACCTCCAATCTTCTATCTCTCTATCAGAACTCAGGAAGTAATTTGGCTTCAGGAAAATGAAAAAAACGAAGATGTAGCAGAACCACATCACGAAAGAGTCACTTTCAAAGAGTGAGAAGAAAGTCAGAAATTTAAAAAAAAAGAGAATATTTCAGAATCCTCCGTCTAACTCCTAAGCCAATTCTTGCCTTGAACGCTGCTGTTCTAATATTCGGAATAATTGGAGGAACACTATCAACAATCACTTCTCTCATCCGCCTAGCTGATTCTGATATGGCAGCACCATGCTACTGGCAATACTTTACAAAAGGTCTCCCATTCTCCGGTGACAATACTGGATCTGTTAGCTGTTGCGGTACATACCGTAACCTTACAGTATCCGGACAAAGCCCGATTGGATATTGTTCGCATCCCGATTTTTAATACGTTTTTGAATACGAGTATTTATTTTTTAGAGAAATAAACCCTTACCTTCTTCTCACACTTCAATAGAGAACACAACTGTGACATCTTCTTTAAAACTCGATCATCTTCTCTAGAAGATTCCAATTTCCTCTCGACAGTTTCCAATTGAGAAAGTGTGTCTTTTGATATCTGAACGTCTTCTAAAGCGACTTTGAACAAAAGTTTGAATCTATTGCTCTCCAGAAAATCCATAGACTGTGATCTAAATTTTCAGAATCTCGACTTCTTCTCTGTTTCAGATTCTTACGTCAATTTATTGTACATAACCTTTGCTTTCTTCTTGACACTGGTCACCAGTAAAAGATCAGAGAGCATAAAAATACATCGTTCCCGGTCTGTCCCTTTCAAAGTGATGATGTCATGTCGGAGAAGCGTCCTCTCTTTTGTCACCAACTGAAATATTCAGAATATTGTTACAGATCAGAAGATCAAAACCCACGTCATCTAATCCATCAACTATCGCTTCGATTTCTCTTAACCTCTGTTCCATTTGTTCACTTCCGTCTTTATGTTGATTTATGGCAACTGCCAGACAGTGGATATGACGTTGAGCTCTTTGAAGACGTTCACGATCTTCGTGTTCTACTGGAGTATGTTTCAGCATTTGTTTCACGATCAACTCGTATCTGGGAACCCGTTGGATTGGAGAGATCAGGAGAGCATCCAAGTCTAGTTTATTCGGATGATCTCGGCAACATCTCTGGAATTTAAAATAGGAAAAGTAGCCTCTGATTTATACTTAAACTTCTACACCTGGACCAAAAGTTTGTACTTGAATAAAATTTGAGTTGGACTGAGATGCTCTTTATAGAAATTTACCTACTACTAAAATTCCGAGAAAAAAACACCAAAATCCTAAAATGTCCTGTATTTTCAATGAGTCATAACTTTTTTCTTGGAAGCGCTACACAAAAACTATCAACTACGAAAATGTAGTTTCTTATTTGAATCATAATAATTTTATAACGAAATTGAAAAAGTCTTCATTCCGAATTCGCACGGCTTCATCCAACGAATGACCTATTAGGTTTTTCGGAAAGTCCTTTCCATTTTTGATCTGTTGTTTTCAAACTTTGTTTTTTTGAACGGGGTAAAAGCGAGGAAGCTGTCGTTTTATCAGTATATTGGTGGGGTCTAATAGTGTCTGCACCCCAACGGAGATCATTCCCCCCCCCCTTTTCGTGTAATGAGATATGCTCACCGTTTTCGGCTCTATTAATTTCCATTTTTGGACTATCATTTTAATTGTATTTTTATCTGATCTTAAATTAGCTGAAATCGAACGCCAACTAGTAGCGGTTAACAACGCAAATGCACCCATTCGAACTACTATCACAACCTGGATTCAGTAATTTGAAAAACGGGAATTCTTGTTTGACGAAAATCCCCCTTCAAAAAGGCAAATGGGCTTACATTAGGTTTGCATGCATTAAAAGCTGGGAAAGAAAGGGACCCTCCTCAAACTGTGTGTGAAATATGAAGTACATCAGCGGCAAGCCTTTCGTTAAAAAACCGTAGATTGAAAACTCTCGGCACAGTCAAAAAGTGGGAAGAAATTGACCACATCTTTTGGCTCAACGCAACTTTTTTCCCCGGGTGGGCACCTGTTTGAATCTTCTCATCCTGCGTTGCACACATAAATGTTGGAATCAAACCATTGCTAGTGGTGATAAATGGGTAAAGTGTGATTACAATAAGCAACATGCTAAGTGGGTTGACAAAGGCACTCAACCACCAGACGTCTCGAAACGTGAAATTCGTGTTAAAAATGGGATGTTGTCGGTATGGTGGTCTACCAAAGAATGGAGTATTAGGAGCTGCCTGATAATAGTGTCCCTTTTACGACCCATACCTATTCTTGATAATGATGGTCATTACATCTAATTTATCCGACATCGTTTTGACCTATTTTACTTTGAATGTATCTGACGCTAAAAATGGAAAGGACTTTCCGAACAACCTAATACATAATCACCCGGACTCGAGTTTGTACTAGCATAAAAATTGTGTATAGCGTTGTATTGTGCTGAAACTTATTATGCAAAAAGTCTAATGATTCGTCTGTAAACTGGCCAAGTTTCAGATTATTTGATCAAATTTGAGCTGATATATCGTTTGTCAAAGTTGGGGTTTTCCCAGTCGCGACGCTGCAGAACGACGGCTAAGCTCTCGAGGAACCGGGGCCGGGCCC